GTTGAAGCCAAACAAATGTAAATAGCCACAAGCAATTTCTCTGCACCTCGGTGCCTATCTTTGTCTCTTCTAACCATTTAAGCAAAACACACTTGATTTATGTGCTACTTCAGCATAAACCACAGGAAAAAAAAAGAGGAATTCACACACTTGGAAACAAGAAAAGAGCAAACTCTGGCAACCACAAATCTCCACTTGGCAGGGCAGGTCATTCCAAAAACAGTTGGTCACATGCATTTCAAGAAAGATGTCCAACAGCTGGATAATATGACATGTATTCCCAGGCGAGACAAACACTCCCAAGGCTCTGGGCTCACTTGTGTAGCTCTGAAGACCAATGTACAAGGTTGTTCTGACAAGCTTTAGGATGTCTGCTCTGCTACATCACATGCTTCTACAGAGAGAGGCCAGCATTGCTCAGCATTTCTGAAGTACAACACATTACGAGCCTTTCCTGGGGTCTTGGACAAAGCACAGTCTGCTCAGCCTCTAATCTTTTGTGTTTTGTGTATCCACAGGGAATGTAAAACAAAGTTTACTTACCCTTTGGCCTTGCCAGATGAAGCCATTAAGACCATTGTGAATCAGATCTTCAGCAGATATACTTTGCTGGTCCACGAACTTCTGTGAAATTTTCAAATTACATAAGATTAACGCTTGGTTTTGCATTCTGAGGGGCACTGGAGAAAGTATTCTGACATAGATATGAAAGGTCAGAGCACTTCACATGCAGGAAATCCCAATAGAGCAGGAGATGCAATGAAGTTAAGGAAGAGAGCATTTCCAGTCAGCTACATTTGGTTACCACCTTCCCTACTCTTGGGAAGAGGTCTAGAATCCTTTCTGGCACAGCCTATGGGCCTGGTGCAGCTAAAAGCCCCATGAAAGCTGCATGAGCAATGGCAGGTCATTGTCATGATTACAAAGGATGATGATGATGATGATGATGATAATAATAATAATAATAATAATAATAATATAAAAAATCCACTGTATTTGTGCAGATGAAACATCAGTTACTGGTGGAGTAAGTTTTACAGATAAGGTAGGACTACATCCTATATTCTAAATGTTTTTTTTTTTTTTTCATTTAATGCACCCCTTTTTAAAATCTCTTTTTATTCATCCTGTTCTCACTGCCTGCGAGCTGTTTCATCTGCCTGTTGTATTTGTGCTGAAATCAAAATTAAATTAATCTGGAAGGAAAAAATACATGTAACACCAGTATAACTTTGACAATACATTTGTTTGAGGTTTAATATATGACACTTAAACTTGAGGTTTAATATATGACACTTGCCTACACGTGCCTAATGCTGCAACAGTCTGCAGTCCTCATGTCCTTCTTCCTTTAAGAAATAACATTTGTTTTAAATGACTAAGGTTGTTCATAAGTCTGCGTCAGGGAAAACAGAAATTATTTGTTTGATCTCACAATAGTGGAACTGTGCTGTGATTCTATCTAACAAGAAAACACTTCAAAATTCTGTGTGAAGTGCTGTCACTCCAACAACCAATTCAACATGGGAACCCTTTTTGTTAGAAGTGACAAGGAGAAGATGGATGTTAAAGATATCAACTTTGCCAGCTTATCATTGGCGTGACTGACACGGGATTCTTCTTGTATTTTATCAAGCGTGAACAAGAAAGATGTTGACTCAAAGGCAGGCTCAATGGGTATAACAAATATCAATCCACCACACTGTCTATTTTTCTCACCTATCAACGGCATTTTGTCTAAATGCTCATGCTATCTGAATTCTCTTGAGGTGTTTGCCAGCCTCTATAAAATAGGGATCCCTTTGTAAAACCTTGCAGTAAACCACGCTTTTGTGATAGTCACTTCAGTCCTTGTGAGAAAGCAGTATAACAGCCATGCTTCTCTTGTGACTTTATTTTTTTTTTTTACCTCATGGCAGAGCCTCATGAGGTAGCTCTGCCATGTCTACACCAAGGGTATTTCAAGGGCTCTGCAGGAACTAGACAGTAACAGATTGCTGCTAGATGGGTTGAAGCTTACCCTGCATGTCCAGCCAGCACGCAGAAGTGATGCAGGAGTTCCTGATGACCCCATGGTAGCAGACTGGGGAGAATCTTCTCAAGTTTAAAGAACAGAAATGATAAAAAGGGAAAATCTGTTTCGCTAGTAGCCTAGAGGCCTGGGAAATCCTGTGGGGGAAAAAAAAAAGATATCAAATTAAAAATACGCAAACCTAAGAGAAATTCACATAAGATAGTCCAGCTAAGAAATTAGACTTTTACTACGAGGCAAAATATTGAGAGTCTTGGGGAAAAAATGGCAGGGTTCAAGGTAATATCCTCTACACAGCCCAAATATTCCATAAAACTTACATTTAATAAAAGCAACAAGGCCATGACAGCCTATTGCCAGTCACAGGCTTACCCTAACTCATGAATAATTTATTTGCAGTTGATGGGGAACAAGAGTAATTTCTGGGGGATTTTTGTCTTGGTAAATTGCTCACCCTCTGACCAATTTGACTGCAAACCATTCATTTCAGAGGAGTTGTCAGCTACTGAGAGAAACATGTTTTTTTCCTCATAAGGCATTTGGCACCTTTGAACTGTGTTTTATCTTTCCACAGTTGGACAGCCTTATTGACTCAATGCTCCTGTGATTGATATTATGATGGGAGACAGGTTTTTGTTAAATTTGAGAGCTCTAACAAATGTGATAGTCCCTCTTATTGCTTGGCTAGTAAGATGTAACTTAACACATTGAAAACCGAATGCTCAGTCTAAACCCAGCTTGAAGTCTGCTGAGAAATTTAGTGCTGGATAGCCCAATGCCTTTACTTTCCCTGCATTATAATAGGAATGTGGTTTACTGCAAATTAAAACTGCTCCAAGTAGATGCTATTAAACCCAAGTTGGTGCACATTAAGTGGTAAAAAAATGAATACTAATTTTGTGTCTAATCCTGTTAATCGCTTGTCGGATAATGTTTGTGGTATAAAGTCCAGAAACAAAATAAAGAAATATAGACTAGACATGTATTTTTAACTTCAGAGATAATTTTGGTTTATGTCGCTTGTCATATGACCATGATTTTTCATCAAAGAAAATTCACACATCTTTTTAGCCTGCAAATAGTATCTTAAGATTATTAAGCATGTTTGAACTTCCTGCTAAAATCTGAAACCACAGATGGAAAAATTTGAAAGATAACATTATTGTAGCATAAAGTGACGCTTTCTACAGAGCCTCATGTTCACTGTGAAGGATCCAGCTTATGCTTCAAACCAAATGTTTGGTCTATATTTAGCTTTGCAAAGTCCATTGTAAATCACTGTGTTTTTGTGGTTACCACGTGCACAGTCCCAAAGCAACAGTTTGGCTCCATTGTAGCTAGTTTCTAAGAGAGTCAAAATGCCTTACTTGCACAGTTGGGAGGTGAATTGCGTGCATATGACAAAAAAAAAAAAAAAAAAAAAAAAAAAAAAGTTGAGCTCACTACACATGTATTGAACATGAGCATATTCAACATGAATATATGCAATTTCTACATTCTCAAATGCAATACAGAATTTACTGCATTTAGGTGACAGCTGACTTAGCAGAAAGCTGAATGTTCTGCATCCTAACATTACCAATGAAAAGCCTGAGTATTAATTCATATATTATTTACAATAAAACAAAAAAGAAAAAAAAAAAGGAAAATAAAAAGAGACCAGTAACTTCCTGGTTAAATCTACTCAACGAGCTGCTGACAGACACTCACAGTTAATGGGCAGGTTGAGTCTCAAGCCTCAGCGAGGAAGCTGCTTAGATTAACAGAGACGATGCCTGTCCTCCAGCAGCACAAATAGCTCCGAGAGCCACGGGTTTGTTTTAATTAAGACTTTTCAGGGCCAGTATGGAGAAAAACAAAAATATTTCCAGGATGTTGTAATCGGTTTGGCCAGCTCCTGTGGGTTTTTAAAACTTTGTGCAAGCCAGGCTGGAGGCAGATGGGGCAGGGGACCTTTCTGCCCCTCTCATGTGACAACAAAATTCGGGGGAGCACGGAGGGGGGTGTCATAAACCTCGGGCTCTCTCGGCCTCGACTTACCAAAATCTCACCTCGGAGTTTCCCCCCCGGGCTCCTCAGCGGCGACGCTCGCCCTGAGGAAAAGACGCGAGTGAGAAACGCGGGTGCGGCGGGTTTAAACCCCGCGCCCGCTGAGGCGGGGCCCTGGCGGTGAGGGGGGGACAGGGCCAGGGCTGGGGGCGA